AGTAGTAGTAGTAGTAGTAGTAGTAGTAGTAGTAGTAGTAGTAGTAGTAGTAGTAGTAGTAGTAGTAGTAGTATTGTTGTTGTTTTTGTTATTTTTGTTATTATAGTCGTTTTTGTTGTTGTTGCTGTTGCTGTTGTTGTTGTTGTTGTTGTTGTTGTTGTTGTTGTTGTTGATGTTGTTGTTGTTGTTGTTATCGTTGTTGTTCTTGTTGTTGTTGTGATTTCGTTTTAAAAACAGATTAAAACATACATCAAAATAATCATTTTAAAATCATACTTTGCTTTTTGTCTGAGCAAAGGACGTTCATCGACGACATGACAGTGGCTAATTAATACTAGGGTAAAGCGGGATAGAATGACAGAATTTAGAAACAACAGATTGCCAGAAAACAAATAAGATAAAATAATCATCCTGGAAATAGAGAATCGAAAAAAAATCTAACACTTTTCTGATTCGAGCCTCTGACTTTGTGTATTGCGTAAACGTCATACCCAGCTACACCTCACACGCCTGCACTGTTCATAAAACCACCCATAATGGTCTGTAAACACGTTAGTCAATTTTCGTAAAAGGTTTTAAAAAGATAAATAAAACCAGAAACCAGAGAAAAGATCTCAAATATGCTAACAACCTGGTCATGGGTAGTACAATGGCGTTAATAATGTTATTACGAATTTCATCAAGTATAATTGATTTTATATCTTATTCACGCCAGGAAACACAATCCTGTAATTGTAGTTATTTTACGACAGGATTGTTCCAACGACGCATGACAGAGACATGGAAGAAACACAAGACCGTGATGGGTGCCCAAGGGCTCGGAAAGGAGAAAATTAGAGAGGAGATTATTGTCACGAACAAAATATGAGCACAATATTGAATATGGCAAGCAGACAGTGCGAGAAATAACCAATATGTAGCTTACATTTTGTAATTGATCAAAAATATGACACAGGCTTCATGCCTGCTTATTATCATTATTATTATTATTATTATTATTATTATTATTATTATTATTATTATTATTATTATTATTATTATTATTATTATTATTATTATTATTATTAATATCATTATCCTTATTATTATTATTATTATTATGTTACCATGATCATTATATTTGATTATTATTAATTACGTCAATGAAACAAAATAATGCTACTTTTCCGAACATTACCAATGGAATTCGTTGGCGTTTCAGAAATTGGCAATCAACAAGGTTGACATCATTGTATAGAAGCCAAATTTTGAAAAGATTTTGTTTCCCCCGTTAACCCTCCTGCCAGGACCGTATGTGCTTTGTTTGACACATGAATTAAATTTAGATAGGGATATATCAACGTAGATTACTTTGATGGACCAATAATCAGCATTCCCTATTAGTATTTGACTAGACTCTAGCGATCCATTACAAACATTTCTAAAGAAATAAGAGGTAAGCCTATTTAATTTATTTCCATGTATCATTCCAAATTTTATGGTTATTTTTTTAAAGAAAGCTGTTGTCAAGTTCAGGTTCTGAATGGTTAGACTGACAGACAGACAGACAGACAGACAGACAGACAGACAGACAGACAGACAGACAGACAGACAGACAGACAGACAGACAGACAGAAACATGGACATCAAACAGAGATATACAGACGCTTTTGAAGAAGAGGTAGACAGGCAGTTCTGGAATTACTCACCAGGTCTGTGTGAGCAGACACAGGTCGTGTCCGTGTAGCGGGCTTTGGGTGTAGAAAGTACGTGCTTTGTCCTAGGTCAGAATGACCGTTGGCCGTTGTCTTGTCCGGGGGATGAGGGAGAATCCAGAGAAGATCGCTGGGTCGGTAGACACGGACCTGTAGTGCCAGAACAAAGACGTGTGTGTTTGCCTTTGTCTGACTGTCGTGAACAACTTTATCAGCAGATTTATCATCATCATCATCATCATCATCATCAGCATCATCATCATCATCATCATCATCATCATCATCATCATCATCATCATCATCATCATCATCATCATCATCATCATCATCATCATCATCTTTATCAAT